CTTGCAAAGATCACTTGCATCCAACCTTCCTACGCAACAGAGAATGGTCAAAACGCTTTTTGCAATCTTGACAGGATTCTATGAGGACTCTTCCACAACCACCCTGACTTGCATGGGCATACATGAGGTATACCTATAATACTAGTTTTTGCACTTTTTTTTTTTCCAGGGTGTGTGTGAAAATGCACCAGACGGTCTCCAGTGGCACAGACACAAAAGTCTGAACAGTGTACACATTTCACAGTACATATAGTTAAGTTTGCTGTTGTAGTGGAAAAGATACATGTCATGTAATGGAAAATATAGCTTATTTGTGATACATTTTTTTGTCTTTTTGTTGTCAATCTGGAGAATGCCAGTCATGATGCCTTCAACACAGATTTTTACACAAGTAACACTTCGGCCAGCGGAGAGGAAGACCTCAGCAGTGAAGAAGATGAGCTCCACACAGAGAATTCTACTACAAGCATGTGGGATGTGGACATTTCAGAGGTAAATGCACAATTGCAAGTTGTAGTTCATATGCATTTTCTGTATTTATATATGTCCTTCATGCAGTCTTTTTTTTTTTCAACCTGTAGAATGAAGAAGCCCTGTCATATTCTGAAGACGACTTGACTGAGGCTGCTAGTAAAGAAGATGAAAACCATGCTGATGATGAAGATGCAGTGGAGAGGAATACAACTAGAGAAAACACACCTGAACTTTCAGTGGTATGTAGACAGTGGTTTAATAACATTTCTAGTAGTTGCTGTGAGTTCATTAGGTGCAATTACAACATTTACACATAATTATAATTACACATAATTACAATTATTATGGTTGCAATAGCCATTTTTGTAAATTAAAATAATTTTGTATAATATTTAGGAAAGTTACTTTCTAGACAATGCACTATGTTGTTGTGAGTTATAAGGTGAAAAAGACTAATAGACTGATATTATTGGTTAAGTTTGCTTTGCATTTATACATGCTTTTTTCATATCTTTTTTCCTATAGGGCAGTGAAGACCAAGCAGATGGTGACAATCCCCTGTATCCTGGTGCACCTGTTTCAAAGGGAGAAAGTTTATTGATGCTCATGTCGTATGTGCTGCGGAACAATTTAACAGGCAAAGCACTAACTCATTTACTGGAAATGTTCAACTTAATATTTCCAGGAATGATTCCGCCCTCACATTACCGTTTCCACAAAGACTTTGGAGGTTCATCACTGTCTGAAGTTCACTTTTATTGTGAAAAATGTCAAGCATACCTTGGCATTAGTGCACACTGTCCGTGTCATTGTACCTTTTGCAACACAGAGTTTGATGCAAATAGAAGTTTAAAAAATGGCTTCTTCTTTCTTGTAATTCCCCTCCATGCACAGATTAAACAACTTCTGCAGGAACATGATATCAGCCTTACTGAAAAAAACAGATCCTCTGGTGTTTTAACTGACATACAGTCTGGTGGAGAGTACCAGAAATTATGTGACAGTGGAGTTATAGGAGAAGATGATTTGACACTTATTTGGAATTGTGATGGCGCACCAGTTTTCAAAAGCTCGAAATGCAGCATTTGGCCAATTCAGTGCCAGATAATTGAACTGGAACCAGAAATAAGAAAAAGGCACATTTTGATGTCAGCATTATGGTTTGGGTCAGCTAAACCGTCAATGATGACATTGTTGACACCATTTGTTAAAGAAGTGTCAGGATTAGAAACTGAAGGTATTGCCTGGCAGGACAGAAGAGGACACAGTCGTGTTTCCAAAGTGTTTGCGCTGATCTGTAGTTCTGATTCTGTGGCTCGTCCATTGCTTCGCAACACTAAACAGTTCAATGGTTTTTACGGATGTGATTTTTGCTTGCACAGAGGTGGTAAATCGTATCCATATGAACAACCTGAACCTCCACTTAGAAATGAGAAGGATCATTTTAGCCATGCAATGTCAGGTACAACTGCAGAGCCGGTGTATGGAGTCAAAGGGCCATCTCCTTTAATGCAGCTTCAACACTTCCAAATGATAAATGGCTTCATTCCTGAATATCAACACAATGTCTGCCTTGGAGTCACTCGTCAACTCGCTACACTATGGCTTGACTCAACAAACAAAGATTCCCCTTGGTACATAGGCAAAGAGGTCAATGAAGTTGACAAACGACTTTTGAAAATAAAACCACCAGTAGAGATTACAAGGACACCTAGGTCTCTGACTGAACGAAAGTTCTGGAAAGCTTCAGAGTGGCGAGCGTTTCTCCTATTCTATTCTCTGCCTGTATTAAAAGGCCTACTCCCTGCACGATTTTGGAACCATTTGTTCCTACTAGTGTTTGGCATTTATACTTTGTTGCAGGAGACTGTAAAGACGGAAAGCATCTTCGTTGCAGAGCTAGCTTTAAAAAAATTTGTCATCATGTTCCAGAGACTGTATGGAAAAAACAACATGACTTTTAATATCCACTTGCTAACACACTCTGCTCAAAGTGTCAAACAATGGGGACCATTATGGGCTACATCAACATTTTCATTTGAATCCAATATGGGCACTCTCATGAAGTATTTTAATGGTACACAGTATGTCCCCTCACAAATAGTTAGAACATTTCTGTTGTGGAGAGAATTGCCACAAAGGGCCAAAAACACTATCCATCCAGATAACAAAAAGGTTCAATCTTTTGTTGAAGAACTTTACTTTAATAAAAGAAAAACTGAAAATTGTGAAATCCTAACCGAAGGCGTCAGAGGTTTTGGTTATCCTGTGGTGCAAAACTGCTTTAAAATGGTCTACAGGCTTGCTATTGGAAAGTTGTGTGGAAATCTAAGCAACTGCTTCTGGTCTTACAACCGGTTTTTGGTCAGTGGAGTTCTGTATCACAGTCAAAACTATGACAGACTAAAAAAAAGATACAACAGTGCTGTATGCCTGAAAGATGGAACATTTGGTTTAATTGTAGACTTAATTGTTTTTAAACAAACATGTTTCCATCAGATTTCTGCTTTTTGTTCATGTGCCAAATTATGCTGTGTTTTAGTTGAGGTCCTTTCTAAATCAGACAGGCCTGTATGTAAAGATTCACAGATTAATGTACAAAGT